CTTTCAAATGAGACGACTTTGTATAAACTTTAGTGCAACCTAAAATAAAGGAACAGAGAGAGGAAGAGCAGCTTGTCAATTCCAGGGCCTTGTGAAACCTTTACATCCGATGAGTCCCTGTTTAAATCTGGCTTTAAAGACAATATTGGGAAGCTTCGGTAAAGCAATTTCAAGGCGCCCTCCCCCATGATCTTATTAGGAGGTAGAGGGAGGTGATCCGACCTATGGATCACTTTGGGAGCATTGAACATGGGCAATCCAGCCAAGGAACAAATGGGAAATGTGTGCTTTTTGACAAGCTTCAGTGACTTGAGTTGTCCCAGTATATATATCTTTAGCTTAGTGGATGAGGCGCTGACCGTGTAAGTCCTCACCCAAGATGACTAGAACTTTCCACGCTCCCACTTTGGTTTTTTTGTTCATTTAGCATGTCACGCCACATCCCGCACCGTAGCCAGTAAACTGTGTCCTATATTAATCATAAACTTGCTTACGCCAGCAACCTGGAGATATATTTATTACCGTCAAATTATATTTTGGGTCATGTATCTCATTCGAGAATGTGTACACACTAACGGAACTCTTCCTCCAATCTGTCCTGCCAGCAGCCTTATACTTGCTAAGAGGGACCCACACCCTGAACTTCATTGTTACCACGCTATTGCCTCTCACCCTACTCAATCTCCAGGAGACGTTTTGCAATTGAATGACACAATTTCTTAGACTAAATGAAACCCAAGTTTTATTTACTACTAAAGAGAAAGAAATCCAAGTTAACTTATTTCCTAGAATGCTCTAATCATTAAAAAAAAAATTGTGGAAATTGTTATTTAAGAGCTATAATTGCTATGTAGCCCAGGCTAGTCCGAATGTGCAATCTTCCTGCCTCAGCCTCACTGCTGAAATTAAAGGCATGAGCCATCTCTGACTACATAAGACATAAATACATAAGACAAGCAACAGACCTAAGTACCCACCAGCATAAAATGCGGGACTAGAATATAAGAGAAACTAGGTGATTTATTTTTAACTGTCAAATACACCGTTACTATATATTTTCATGCCTAAGGTTCAAAACGGTGCGAACACACGTACACACGGTACACATGTGCATGCAGGCGAAAGCCCTTGAGCACACCCAACACAAAACACGGGCCATGCTGCAAGCACACAGACCACATACCGGGGTAATCACAGTAGTGGATGCGTCTTTTTTCCAGATCGGGGTTACTCCTCCTGTTGTATCGGACGGGTTGGATACTCGGTGAGTTGACTGGCAGAGTGGCGGGTAAATTCGGATTGTGAATTGCCAGTTTAGAAGCAATCGTAGCAGCATAGGATGGAGGAGGAGTTAAATTCTGGAGCATCTCGGCTTGTCTATCGGGACTCCCAGGCTCTGAGCTTGGTGGTGACGGGGGAAAGTAAGTGGCCTGCTGTGGAAGAAACTGACTTGGCATGGTGTATGTGCAAGGGGGCATGCCCTGGAACTGTTTCATTGCAGTCTGCGGGACAGCAGAAGTGTGTGTGTTGAGGCCTGCCATGGCGGCCGACATAGAAACATTCAGGGTGTCCATTACTGCCGTCTGGTTTGTAGAACTGGGCATGTCTAGATCCGGTGTATTCAATAGCTGGTACAGGTGGCCCTGCTGTGAGGGGACAGAGAGATGAAGATCTGGGGTAGAAAGTTCTTGTTTGATGAAGATGTTGTTCACCTCTGGAGCTGTGGTTTGGTGGGAACTGAATATACTGGTGAACTCGGGGAGGGCCTGGGTCGGGGCTGGAGGAGGGGGGGCCGTCGTCTCGCTCTGGTGGCTGAAAATGGTAACAGGTTCGGTCTTGATCTGTGTCACGCACGGTCTCTGGGATTTGTAGAGGCCAGTTCTCAGGTGAGTGATGTCGGGGAGGAAGACGTTCATGTTGATACTGTAAGGTAAGCCTTCACTGTCAGTGAAGAACTGGTCTACCACGGAAGCGCTGTCTCGTCGGTACTTCTTATGCTCTGGGATTATTGGAACTGGGGGGAGCTGAGGTGTCAGGTACTTCTCCATTTCACATCTCGTCTACAAAGGAAGAGGTACAGGTACACACTGAATCCACCGATTCATTCAGGAAGCACAAATAAACAGCACTTACTAAAAACTCCCAACACCAATCCGGGGGCCAACTCCTAAGGGTTGCTTATAAACAGAAGGGTTTATTTTGTCAATTGTGTAATTATTGGTTAACCAAAAGACTGTATGAGATGTCTTTAGTAAAATCACTCCCCCAAATCATCCCCAGACAAAGTGAAAGAGAGACAGGGAGGGAGGAGGGGGGAGGGGGGGGGCAAAGACAAACCGTATTCCCTTCTGATGCAATCAAGTCTCACCCCAGCCCAAGAAGGCTAAATCTGCAGTCAGTGAGAGTTCGGTACCAGAGTATTGTCAAGCTGCCTCAATTCTGTTCATGTCCGTTACATTTAACATGCTTTATTTGGAAACTAAAACCTTTGCAAATCTTAAAAATAGTATTTCAAAGGGCTTTTATGTGGGCAGAGTTAGGTATCTCAAGTCTGTCTAACATAAAATGTTCTCTAGCCATTTCAGTACCTTTTTTGATTAATAAAAATTTCAACGTTTGGAGCAAACCCTGGTCTGCACTAAAACCAAACAATTACAGCTTCAACACTGGATGTAAATGTTGGTTCTAACCAGCAGATTCGTTAATTGGTTAATGTAATAATGAAATGTTCCTATTCATATCCCTATCTAAAACAGATCTTTAATTATCAAGGAGAAAATCACTCCCTTGGTAGACTGGTGCTAAGACGCCCGTGGGTGGGGAGGCTGCTGGATTGCCAACACAGTCATCAGCAAAACATTTATCATGTCCTCTCCGTGGGCCAATGCTACATTCCCCCTTCCTCTGTAAAAAGCGCAGTCATCCCGTACCCTCTTGCTATCTACTAAGAGACAACTGCCAGAGCGAAAGAGCCAAATATCCCCCCAGGCCCTGATTGTTTAAGAATGTTCCAGACCCACCGCCTGGTCTTTTCCCAGCTCCCTTCTTCCCTCCCAACAGATCGAAAGCTTAATTTCTCCCAATTTCTCTTGACATTGAAAACCAAGTTGGAAAAAAAAAAAAAACAACAAAGCCCAACTAAATGAAATAGTTCACCGAACAATAAACCACTGCACCCCAATCGGCGAACAAGAGTGGTATTTCTGCTTCTAAATTCCAAAAGAATTTCATCTCGGACCTCAGATTATTAGGATCTGGTTGTGGACCAGGACGGACGGGATTTCCCGGATATGCACGACTTAAAAATAAAGATTCATGCTCAAGCCATGTGAGTCACATCTGACAAATGCCACTGTCCTCTCAAAGCACGACGACACTGGCAGACCCCGCGAAATAGGCGCTGGGTGCAAATACACAATACAGCAAGAGGCTATTAAACCAAGCGTCTTGAAATAAACCGAACTAAAACCCTTTCGTGCACTGCGCTCCCGCGGCGGTTAGTGGTTTCTGATTTTAGCTCTTCCAGCTGTTTGCATGTGGGTCTGTTTCCAATTTTTTTTTTTCCTTGGGACTAGCTGAAAGTCCCGGGAAGTTTTTTCTGGGCTATATGACTCCCATGCGTGGGCGAAAGAAACAGGCGCTTGCTCTAATTCGGCTGCTGGGCAAGTGTAAAAGCCAACTGCCAGCTTTCAACGCGACTCCGGGAGGAAATTTACGCGCACACTAAAACAACACCCCTGGCCTTTTGGGGCGCGTGTCTCTTTTTAAGGAAAAAAAAAGCAGTGTTCTAATACAACCTTAGATCCTCTGACTCTAGTTTCCCAAACGGGGCCCTACAATCCATTCTAAGGTGAACCACGGGGGTATGAAACCCCAGTACTCCTATCTGCATTTCGACTTCATCCCAGAGGACTTAGGCAGGTGGACTTCCTAGGCCAGGGCAATCGGGAGAGAGCGTCAAGGTGAAACAATTCAAGTCAAATTAAGTGTGGACACAAGCTTCCATTCCCACGCAAGAAAAACAGACAAGGTGCGCGCGAGCACCTCTGGGCCGATCGAGTGGGCCCCCGCCCCGCTCCCCCATCCACTCCGCGGCGCCCCGTCTGGGAGCGCAGGGCGGGGCTGCCCACCCGGGCACCGGCTCCCGCGCGTCCCAGCCTGGAGCGGCCCCTGTCGCCCGCGCCTCGCAGTGGCGGGACACGCCCGAGCCCGGGGAGGGAGGCCGGCCGCTCTGCTTACCTGGACCAGCTCCTCCGAGGGCAGCCGTGGGCCGGCGGCTGGCGGCGGCGCGGGCTGAGCAGGCGGGTGGTGGTGCGCGTGTTTCAGATCGTCTCCGGGGAAGAGCGCCGCGTCGCGGGCCGGGTTCGCAGCGCCCAGCACCGGCTTGAGCTGCGCGAACACGGGCTCGTCCTGCGTGGCCGGCGGCTGGGGCACGGGTCCCAGGCGGGCGCTCATGGTCAGCACCCGCGTAGCCATGGGCGGTCAGGGGGGGCTGCAGACGCGGGGCACGGGGCGATCGCGATTCCCACCTCGCCCGGGCTGGCTCGGGACGGCGGACTCGACGCGGGGACCCTTGGGCCGGCGGCCAGCGGCTCACGAAGGCGGGCACGTAGATCGGGACTCCTGGGCTCGGCCACGCGTCACCGCCGAGGTCCTCCGGCCGCCACTTTCTCCCGCCCCGCCCCAGAGCTCTCTCGCTCGGCCGGAATCCGCTCCCGCCACCTCCGAGCTCCACCAGCAAGCTGCGAGCGCGCGTACCTGCCCCGCGACTACTGACACTTGACGCCCGCCTCTATTTCACCCAACTCCAGGGAGGCAGGACCAGCTCACGCGACTGGCAGCGCCGTGGCCAATAGTAAGGCCCCAGAGGCAGCAGCTAGCCAATGGGAACGAAGTCCCACGAGGTCCCGCCTCCGACGGGCCGACCGCACCCCTCGCGGGCCACGAGCTTCGCGCGCAGGGCTGCGGCGCAGTTTGTACACAACTTCTCTGACAGATTGGGCCGGCGGAGCACAGGGCGGAGGGAAAGAGAGGAGCGGGCGGAATCTAGGAAGAGGGGAAATCAGGGTGGAGACGTGGAGGGAGATCTCTCCGAACTGTTCTCTGCCAGGATTAGGGCAAAAAAAAAAAAAAAAAAAAAAAGTATTGCACGTCTTAGGTGTTGTGCAAGGACCTGAAACTCGAAAGCTGAAGACCGAAGGCAGTTAGGTGGGGGAGCTGAGGTTTCCAGTCCTCTGCGATGAATGTGTCTTTTTAAGTATACAAACTGAAGTTCAGAGGAAAACAAGAGGCACTATGGTAACAAATGTAAAACGGGTCTCATTTCTGTGTTTTCAGCAGTGGGTCTATCTATCCTTTAGCAGATCCCTTATGCCCTGAATAAAAGCTGTAATGTCAAGCATTTTCTCAAATCCTTGCATACCAACCTTGGCGTTTTTCCCCCTACGGTATTTAAGCAGCTACAAGTTTCCACAGACCTTTCTACCTTCCGTCGCCGTACGTGCCGAAGAGGTGGGGTTGGCCTTATGAATTATGAAGTTTTTAATATTTAAACCATGTTGATTCTAGCCGGAGCATGGAATCTAACTTGAGAACTAACAGCCAGCTCAACTGGGTATTTAAATAGACATTACATCTTTGGCTTATTTTTGCTAGCACTGTAGTCTCCAGAGGGGGAAAGCGGAGTTTAATATTTTCAGATAAGTATAGCCCATCTACCTAATACAGTGGCACCTTTTCCTACGAAACGGGAACCAAAGAAGTCACAAACATTCACAGATAGTCAAGGGCTCTGAAAACTGGAAACCCAAACCTGTAGGAACGTAACAGCTAAATACATTACTACCCACAGGTTGGGTTGTTTTTAATGGAGGGTAAGTGTTTGTTTTTTAAATTTTTTAAATTTTTCCCAGCAATCACCAAAGGAAACTACTTCCCTTGATCCTTAATGGTCTTGTACAGGACTTTATGTGACTGATTACGAAGCCGGAACGATAAACTTTGACAAAAATGCCTGTAATATGACTACATATGCACATACATCGACAGCATATTATAGCAGCACACTCATGGAGAGCACACTGGCCTCTTCACAGGGCAGCACCGCTTAAAAGGCTCCTAGGGAAGAAATGCACCTCAAAGAGTGTATCAGGGGTGCACGTCCCCTTTCCAAATCCAGGTAAGTGAATATGCACAGAAAGTATCACATGCTTGCTTTTTTTCAGCAAAGATAAAATCATCCTGTGAACTCGATTTCTTTTCTCCCTTTTCCTTCCTGTGAGTAATGATTCATTTTTATAGTTGTGGTTGTCGCGTTCAGAGGACGGGTGATGTCTGCTTTCGTGACACCAGAGTGCTTTTTAATAAGTGTCTTTGCACCTGTGTCTCTAAGTGACCAATCTCGTGTGCTCAGCCTTCATCTTCAAAAATCCGGCCTCATTTTCTCTCTTATTAAACCCAATCATGCGATCAAATAGCTCAGAGGCAGGTCAGAGAATTGGTGTTGGATTTAACTTTTTTTTTTTTTTTTTTTTGGTTTTTCGAGACAGGGTTTCTCTGTGGCTTTGGAGCCTGTCCTGGAACTAGCTCTGTAGACCAGGCTGGTCTCGAACTCACAGAGATCCACCTGCCTCTGCCTACCGAGTGCTGGGATTAAAGGCGTGTGCCACCATCGCCTGGCTCTGGATTTAACTTTTTAAAAGAACAGTTGATTTTTTTTTTAAGACTTTTAGTTACTTAATGTTCATAATACAATCAAACCACCAAGTATGGTTTTGATAACACTTAATAGATTGTTTTTCCTCCATTTCCCTTTAAGTTTAATCCAATTTAAACTCAATACATCTTCGAATTTATGTTTATTTTAATTTGCTTTTAAACCTATCTAAACCTTTTCTTTTTTTTTTTTTGTCATTAGAGCTTCTGTGGGCCATGCCTTTTTACTGCAATAAGACCCATTTTTGTTTTTACACTAGAGATCCTTCTAAGTTAAACACTGGCTTTTTAACACGCTACCCTTACAAGGTTTTCCATTGCAGCAAAACAAAAGCCCACAAACTATTTGACAAGCTCTTCAGATCATATTTTTATAGTCTTGTCACTTCTTTATTTTCCCACGTTTAAAAAGACTATATATATGTATGTACGTATGTGTATACCTATGTATATATATACATACATATATATGAGCCTGACCTGACTTTGGCCTGGTTCACATAGCTGATGCATTTACAGTTTTGCTTTTAAAATATTTGTATATCTACTTTTTGCTCAAATATGGCAGGATTTATTTAAATTTCATTGCTGACATAAAGACTTGGGAAATAGGGCTGCCACTTTTAAGTAAGTCATGGTTTCTCTCAAATCCTCAGCTATGCAGTCTCACAGAAACTAACTAGCTTGGTCGTGTGCAATAGTACGGAAATTGGAAGGTAATCCTTTTCTAAGGTGTGTGCCATGCTGTTCTAAGCATACAGAAAACATGTTTAACCAAGGCAAACATGACTGCTGACAACCTGCCCCATCAGCTTCCAAAGAAGGGTTAAAACGTGATCAATATTTTTCAGATTTTCGAGGTTCTACGTTGGCGTGCAGCCAGCCCGTGTGAATGGACAGATCCTCAATTACTTTGAACTTTTTAGGTCTTTGCATTCCTCCCTGCTGAGTAGTCCTGTACCATTAAAGAAGATGGGAGAAAACAGAAAACAAATGTCAGGTTTCAGAAATCAATTAGTGGCCTGGCAGCAGTGTGTGAATTGAAGTGTGCCAAAACAGAGGATTCTGAGGGAAAGGAAGAAAAATGTGGTGTAGTCAAGCGGGCAAGGAGGGGAAGGATGGGGCAGCGTGAATGCTTAGGTCCTTAGTCACCGGGCAGCGCGGATTTAATCTTAGAATAAACCCAAGTGTCACTATCTTTACGGGAATAAATACGCCTGAATGTGTGGGGGCTGAGCCGGCATCCAGCTACGGGGGCGGGGGTGTGCAAGAGGCAGAGGAGAAAAGAGATAAAAACAGCTTCTGAATGAGCCGAGGAGAAGCCAGGAACGATCTGCAGGACAGTGCCACAGTATTCACGAGAACACACCACGACGACAGAAACGTAGCTAGTCAGTTGTTCATTAATCACAGGGAGTCACCCAAATCTCACTGTCACCCGGAGAATATCCACAGGATATTCCATTTCCGTACAGGCGGTGTTGAATTACCAAGTGATACCAGACCACAGAAAAAGGCACAAGAAAGAGCAAAACTAACTCCTGATAAGTGAGCACCCAGGGCCCTAGGATAAGACTATTTAATTAAAAGTGAGTTTTTTATGCACTGTGTATCCCTGGTAGGATCTGGATCAATGGGAACACAGAAGATATTTTATCCTCTAGAACACTTCATATCTTTAATCTTTTTAGTATTTCATTACTACATTTAAAAAAAGTTACCGAGACAGTAACACAGTCAGTCCAAGTTCCCACTGAGATGAGACAAAATGCGAATCACTATGATTCAAGAGCTTTAAAGACAAAGAGACGAGGCGCTCTTTCGTTTCTTTTGTGATGACAGATATGTAATTAAAATATTTTAAAGGCTTCATTTTTGTGAAATTTAAAACGACATATTCCCAAGAAAACAATTTAATATCTTGATTGTGCACTGTCTCCTGTCCCTTGTTTATAAGAAATACATATTTTTTAAGTTTTGGATTTCAATGCATTCTCTATGATATTTCTCAAGGCTCCCAGTGTGCACTGACAGAGTGCAATTTATCCACCCTAGTTTTAAAACACTAGTAGTACTTTTGGGGGAAAAAAATAATAGAGGTTTACCTTTTGGAGGGACTGAGATTGATTTTCCACCTTGTTGGTATGCTAAGCAGACAAAAATGACAAACGGGAATGCCCTAGACAGAGTTATAGGACAGGCCTAGGGCGGCTTCAACTGGACGGTATTTGAATTCTGACTCAAAATATGATAGAGAAGGTGGAGAGACAGTTCCTGGCCTGGAGCACTTCCAGACAACAATCTTTTAGAACATCAGGGTTGCTACCTCATCAGCATCACAATGAGCCAATTGCTAGCCACGCTGTGACAAAAATCAGTCAGGGCACCAGGCTGTGGGGTGCAGGCGGGACTGCTCCAGGTCCCTGTACGGTTCCCAGGGACCATCCCTGTGGACGTTGATTCGGGGATGAAAGGAGTAACAATGGTGCTGGACTAGTGCCACAATTCCACGTGCCGCTGCGGTCATGGACGCCTGGACAGCGTTGCGGGAGGACAGTTGGTCAACAAGTATGAAGAAGGCAAAACCTATGAATGACCTTAAGAAAATAAGTGAGGCCTGGTGGCACACTACTGTGATCCCAGCCCCCAGAGGCAGAGCCAGGAGAATAGGTACAAATTTGAGAGCAACCTGAGCTCATCCAGAGTGACCCAGCAAGAGCTCATCGAAAACGAAGACAGATAATGCTCCATCTAGAAAATATATACTATAAACATACATTTCGGTATAGTGTTGGAAATAACTTAGATATCCAACAATAGTATAGTAACGCATGTATCCTATGTATAGCATATATGTGATATATTTATACATTTACATATATATGTATATATAAAATCAGGGTTTGGTGGGCATGCCACCAATCACATCATTTGGGAGGTTGAGGCAGGAGATTTAGAGTTCAAGGTTGACCTGGGCTACACAGGACGATTCTTGCCTCAACAAAGAACAGTAAGGTGGAGAGGTGACTTGAAGAGTATATACTGTGACTAGAGTTGGGTTCCCGGTGCCTCTATCACGTGGCACACCACCACCTGTAACACCACTTCCCCTTCCCCTCTGGGGAATTGAATGCCTCTGATCTCCGCAGATGTGTGTGCCTGTGAGTGTGCACACACACACACTACACACACACACACACACACACACACACACAGGTGCACATAATTTAAAATAATAGCAAAAATATTTTTTAGGAAAAGAAAAGAAGGAAGGGGGGAAAGTCATGGCTGAGGAAGTAAAAGAGTTGTAGAGGAGAAGGAAATGAAAAACAGAGGTTTTATAAACCCGTGCCCACCGAGGTGAAAAAAAAGCGCAAAGTAGTGGATTTTGAAACCAGGCAAACAGCACATATCTACAGCTCCACTACTTAAGAGACTGAAGGAGGTCAGTCATGAGCACAAGGCGTCTGGATGACAGAGTGAGTCCCGACCACCTCTGGCTACTAGATTCCATTCATTTTGTTTGTTTGTTTTGTTTTTGTTTCTCAAAACAAGGTTTCTCTCTACTACACAGCCCTGGCTATTCTGGAACTTACTCTGTAGACCAGGCTGGCCTCAAACTCAGAGAGTTCCCTGCCTCTGCCTCCGGAGTGCTGGGATTAAAGGTGTGCACCACCACCAAATGTCTATCACTTGTAAACAGAATAAAAAATATTGTAAGAATATATTCTCTTAGCCGGGCAGTGGTGGCACACGCCTTTAATCCCAGCACTCAGTAGGCAGAGGCAGGTGGATCTCTGTGAGTTCGAGACCAGCCTGGTCTACAGAGCTAGTTCCAGGACAGGCTCCAAACCACAGAGAAACCCAGTTTCGAAAAACCAAAAAAAAAAAAGAGAGAATATATTCTCTTTTTGTAGTCAAGGGTTGGTTGGAACTAGGAATGAGCACATGACTTTCCATTTGAAGTCAGCAAGTATAGCCACAACTCGCTCAGACTCGCTCCTAAGCCCACGGACTTTAAGGGTTCACTGGAGAAGAGATTGGGTTGGAAGTCAGGAAGGTATAGCCTGGGAATGATTAATTGTAAATGCATACAATCCTTTGATTTGTGTCTTACACAGCCAGCGGGACCTCCTCCCTGCATGATAATTTTTTGCTCAGGCTGATTTTTGTCTGTCTCATTTTATTTTGTCACTTCGTTGTAATCATTTATTTTTTTGTATTTATTTATTTTTTTTAAATTTATTTATTTATTAAAGATTTCTGTCTCTTCCCCGCCACCGCCTCCCATTTCCCTCCATTTAAAACAGTGTTTTGAGGCTGGCCTTGTTAGTGCTTGCCACTAACAAGTCAGAGGCAGGCAGCAGATCTCGGAGTTCAAGGCCAGCCTGGTCTACAGACAGTTCCAGGGCATCCAGAACTGCACAAAGAAGCCCTATTTTGAAAAACAAAACAAATAAACAAACAAAACACAGACAACACACTGTTTTGAAAAGAGGCAAAAGGGATACAGGGAATCTCAGTACTTGGGAAGAGGAAGCAGGCAGGAATTTAAGGTTATCCTTGGTCATTTTGAGTCCTATATAAGAGCCTACATCCTCCCCCCAATGGCACCTAGAGCTAAGTAGAGTGGCCCTAATCATTAAAGAGGTGCTGTGTGAAACCCCTATCACGTTTTTATTGGTGGATGCTCACCGTCTTCTAATACCCCCTTTTCCCAGTCCCTAAAACTTTTTTAATTTTGAAAATCCAATTGGAGCCGGGCGGTGGTGGCGCACGCCTTTAATCCCAGCACTTGGGAGGCAGAGGCAGGCGGATCTCTGTGAGTTCGAGACCAGCCTGGTCTACAAGAGCTAGTTCCAGGACAGGCTCCAAAACCACAGAGAAACCCTGTCTCGAAAAACCAAAAAAAAAAAAAGAAAAAAAGAAAAGAAATTCCAATTGGAGGTGATTGTGATGACGGCTGCCTTGTAGAAACTGAGTGTTGGCAAACGCTTCTGGTTCTACAGCACGTGACACAGAATGACTCTGTGAGGAGCAGGCCTCCACCATCGTGGCCTCCGTGGACACACAGATGCCACATTTACCACTGACAGACACTCCCAACCTCCCAGCTGCGTTCTTTATCAAACACCCGGCTCTGGAACTTCTGTTGTGGTTCTCAAATCTTATTCACACAAAACATTACAATTCTCATCTCATGAACAACGCAATCATAACTCTGAGGCTGGTGAACTACACGTCACCAACCGTGTGGTTTATCCTTCTCTCGGTATTGTTTTTGGTAAGACATCTCAAATACCGTGTGGGCAAGGGCACCTCAGAAGGTAAAGTAATCTCACTCTGGCTCCTCCCCATGGTTACAACCCCTCTACCCTGACTCCAGCTTTGCCCTTTACTTGGACTGTCTCCTAGAGAAACTCTTGGAAGCGGGCAGAACCCATGAACTCACCCCTTCAGCAAGGTGCTGGCAGCTGTCAAGAGTGAACTTCATGTCCCGTTCTTTTTCTGCCCCCACTTTGCCACAGGTTTTTGTCATGGGTGCCATGGTGGTAGCATGGGAAGGAAAGACCAGCTCAGGTCTTTTATTAAAACCACAGTAAATGGACTAATACGCTATCCAAAACGTAGAAGACGTGAGTTACAGTCACCGTGTTGTGACCCTCATAGTGTTAATGGATTTGAGCAACAGAGGATAGGTGACTAAGTGACATTCTGAAGCAGAAGGAGCTCTCCTACAGAACCCCATTGTATTTCCATAAAGATTAGAGTGTTAAGTATAATGGAAGATGACGCTTTAACAACAAAAATCCTGATAGAGACTACCGTACATGAACAAAATCAGCCGTACCATCAGTAGAAAGAACAGGCCGTGGCCATCCTGATGAGAATTGACAACGGTATGGCATCGATTACATTTTGTTTACCAAAAATTCATACTCTGGGGCTGGAGAGAAGGCTCAACAGTTAAAAGTGCTGGTTGCTCTTCCAGAGGACCTGGGTTCAATTCCCAGCACTCACCTGGCAGCTCACAACTGTCTGTAACGCTGATTCCCAGGAATCTGGTGTCCACACATAAACATACATACAGGCAAAACACCAAAGCACACAAAAATAAATAAATCTTTTTTGGGTTTTTTTTTTTTTTTTTTTTTTGGTTTTTTGAGACAGGGTTTCTCTGTGGTTTTGGAGCCTGTCCTGGAACTAGCTCTTGTAGACCAGGCTGGTCTCGAACTCACAGAGATCCGCCTGCCTCTGCCTCCCAAGTGCTGGGATTAAAGGCGTGCGCCACCACCGCCCGGCATAAATAAATCTTTTTAAAAAAATCACAAGCTGGATTTAATCAGGAGGCACAACCAGACAGCTCAAACTACAGTGAACTGACGACGTCATCAAGAACGTTACATGTGGGCTGAGGGGACAGTGTAGTTGCTAAAGCCACATGAGCGCGAGGACTTGAGTCAGATCCCTAGAATCTACCAGAAAGCCTGGCATGTTGGGGCCTCAAGACATGCCTTTCTGGGGGAAGTCCTTGCTGCCAGGTGTCAGGACTGGATATCAGATCCTCCAGGACAAAGCAGTAGCTGTGTGTGTATGTGTGTGTGTGTGTGTCCTGTAATTTCAGACTCCAAAGGTGGACAGAATTTTCAGGGTGAGCAAGCCAGTCAGATGACAAAACATGACGTGCAGGTTCAGCTAGAGACCCTCCCCCAATAGGCCAGGGCGACAGTGACGCCCACTGTTCATATTCTCCCGCACACATCAGAATACACACACAGACGGAGTGACAAAGCAAGTTTCGGCTGAGGCCACGAACCAGCCTTGCTGAACCAGTGAGCCCAATATTCAGTGAGAGTCTACTTCCAAAGATAAGGTAAGACAATGGCTTGAGAGACACCTGACACACGCATGCCCTCTCAAGTGCACTGCATTCTCAAGTGAACATGAACAAAGCCACTGATATGTAAATGTGATAAAGGGCAGAGCATATCTCTGGAATATTCCTTTTTAAAGGAAAGTTTCTCTGTGTGGTGCCTCAGGCCTTTAATCCCAGCACTTGGGAGGCAGAGTTCGAGGCCATACTGGTCTGCAAGAGCTAGTTCCAGGACAGGCTCCAAAGCTACAGAGAAACCCTGTCTTGTAAAACCAAAGGGGGGGGGGGGGAGGAATGTTCAGTTCTTGTTTAATTTAGATGGAACGGGGCCAAACATTATTACTGAGGTAGTAATAAAAATTTAAGTATAACGTATAATGCTACAATCCTATGTGTTTGGACTTGCTTATGCAACTGAATATGTAAAAAGAATATCCTTTTATTTTAAGGATATGACACTTAAATATTTACAGGAGAAGAGTACAGGATCTGCAACTAACTTGCAAGTTAAGTAGGAGTGTGTGTGTGTGTGTGTGTGTGTGTGAGAGAGAGAGAGAGAGAGAGAGAGAGAGAGAGAGAGAGAGAGAATTACATGGACTGGGACAAGAAAGTAGAATCAGTTCAGCAAATTGGTAATTGAATTTGGGAGACAGGTACATGAGAGAATTTTAACAGTATTCTTGAATTTTCATAGGCTTGAAATAATTTTGAATCAAAAAGAAAAGAACAAAAAGGTCTAAAAGTGAGGAAGACTGATTTATTTCAAACATCAGCTCCTGCTGTCTAGGATTAGACATCCCAGATTCGTATCTGTCACAGTTCAGCTGACAGGAAGCATCAGCAACCCAGGAAGACGGCTGAATGAATCTCAGTTAAAAAGCTTCGTTTTCCTCAAGTGGTCCAGACCCTTCGTTTCTCTACTGTGCGGGGCAGCATGTTAATGAATTCACGTTTGCTATGTTCACATCTCCCAGCTTTGTCTCTACCATGCACGTCTGAATAAAGACCATGTGTATACATGTGTCTGTGCGCGCACACACACACACACACACACACACAGCTAAATCAAATGTCAGAAAGGACATTGTGGCAATCTTGTCTTTTTAAAGTAGTTGGAAATACTTGAGGTGGGCCGGGCGGTGGTGGCGCACGCCTTTAATCCCAGTACTCGGGAGGCAGAGGCAGGCGGATCTCTGTGAGTTCGAGGCCAGCCTGGTCTACAAGAGCTAGTGCCAGGACAGGCTCCAAAGCTACAGAGAAACCCTGTCTCGAAAAACTAAAAAAAAAAAAAAAAAAAAAAAAATACTTGAGGCGGTGTCTCCCACACAGCTTGAGCTGGTTTGAAGTCTACTTGTTGTCTAGACTGTGCTTGAACTCGCCAAGTTGATGTACTTCTGCCTCACGAGGACTGGGATTATAGACTGCACTATCACCAGACTTAATATAGTTTTCATTATATGTAACACTTTAATTTTGAGAAACAAGCAGAGAGTAATCCTAGTACCCTGCCATGGTAGAGCCAGCCTTCTTCTGGCTTTACAACCCAACATGGCGATTGTGTTGCTGACACCAAAGCCAGGATTATGAAGCAAGGCACACCCCAAGTCACAAGCTGGCCTTTCCAATTTGAAAAAGATAAAAATCATTCTCATGTCGCTAGACAATTTTCAGAAAATCTGACTTATTCCATTTTGTAAAAGACAGGGTTTTATGCTTTGTACAGCTGGTAGTCTCCTGCCTCAGCTTCCAGACTGCTGAAATTTCAAGCATGAGTCACCATGCCTTCCCAAAACAGCTAGATCATTATAACCGTGACCAAAGCGTTACTGTTGACGTTTAGAACCCCAGACACAATGAGTTGGGGGGTTAATGACAACTGTCAACAAAAGGCAGGTACGCAGAGATGACGGAAGAAACACGATGAATCTGTGATATTGTGTATGCATTGAGAGAAGGTGGGTTAGCTATTTCCCTGGGAAATAAGTGATTTTCAAAAGTACAGCAAGGCTTTTCCAGAAAAAAGTATCTGGTCTCATTGAAGGTAAAACACAACACACACACACACACACACACACACACACACACCACACACACTCAGAATACAAAGTAACTGTCATGGGGCAACCTACCCATGATGAAGGCAGAATGGACTTTGATGCTTGTGTTGGCCTTGAGGAGAACATGAAATTCTGTAAACTGAAACAGAGCATAGGACAGTTGAAGGGAACCGACTCAGGAAACTGACAGGGGCTTAGGGGAAAACACAAGCTGTAAAGTGCTGAGTGCAGCCATCCACTCCCAACTTGTACATGCTGTGTAAAGAACTGATGCATTAAAGTCAACCTCAGGGATCTTTTGAGCTCACAAGAGGGAAGCAGTCAAGATGACTCATCCTGTAAAAGTGCTTGCCAAGGAGGCCTAGAGCCTCACATTGAGTTCCTGGGACAGAAATGGCTCTTAGCAGTTATCCTATCACACACACACGTGCACACACACACAAATCTTAAAATAATCTGTCAAAATATGATGGTACAGGCCTTTAAATCCAGCACTTGGGAGGCAGAGGCAAGACCTTCGTGAGCTCCAGACCGTCCAGTGCTACATAGTGAGACCCTTTCTAAAAAAGGAGGGGGATGCGGTCAATAAACACCTGACTAATTTGTGTGTAACCTTAAGCTTCATAACAGCACAGAAAGGAGAAAAAAGGAGAAGCCTAGTAAACATGTCCAATTATGTGTTCATTTAAAACGTAACAAAAATTGCCATCTTAAAAAGTGGGAAAAGAGGGGAGGGAAAAAGAGGGAGAAGAGGTAAGGGGAAGGCAATGTGATTAGTGAGGCACTCATGTACAAAGATAGACCAATAACATGAGACTCCCAGCTTACCTGATACTAGGGAAATGCAAAGTAAAAAAGCTATGAAGCTATGATTTTTGAGCCCAAACACCTAAGATAAACAGATCACAGACAGGAGTGATTTGGTTTGGCTCATGGGTTAGAGGTTTCTAAGCCAGGCACAGTCTTGAAGTGCCAGCACTCTGGGGGCAGAGGCAAGAGGAACACTACTCACTCAGATCCAGGTCAGGCAGGGCTACAAAGAAAGACCTTATCTCAACACCCTCTCCTCTGACCCAAAAAGAGGGTTCAATCCATGCCTCACCCCAGTGTTTCTGGGCCTATGGTGAGACAGAACATTCAGTGTATAGTAGGGATGTCCACTCCAGTTAAGGCAGCAGAAAACAGAAAGAGAGAGAAAGAGGCTGGGGTCTCAATATACCCAGTGGTAGACCCCAATGACCCACTTTTCTATGTGCCACTCCCCCAAGTTTTAGTCACTGTCTAAAGAGCTTTGGGAACCAGGGACCAAGCCTTCCATACAGAAGCTTTGTTAGGGCCTTAAAACCCAAACTACAACATGAAGGAACTTAGAAACACACCCAGTCTTAGACTAATTGCTATAGAGATTTGTATTGGTATATATCTTGGCTTATTGATAAAAATTTAAGGTCTATCTTGTTACATGTATATTTCTGCTATTGGTTAAGGTATTGTGATTGTGCAGTTCATTTAAAAATGTTATGTATAATTAAGAAATATAGGTTAATACATGATCATCTATAACAGTCATATTAGTCAGATTTTCTAGATATATAAAGATATATTTCAGTTATATAGGTATTCTTCAAATCTTTCAGAGACCTTAAGAATAGGGCATTTAGGGGGCTGGAGAGATGGCTCAGTGGTTAAGAGTGTTGCCTGCTCTTCTAAAGGTCCTGAGTTCAATTTCCAGCAACCACATGGTGGCTCATAATCATCTGTAATGAGGTCTGGTGGCCCTTTTCTGGCCTGCAGGCATACACACAGGCAGAATATTGTGTACATAATAAATAAAATCTTAAGACTTTTCATGACAATGAGCACCAACTATTTCAAGAGGAAGATGGGTATTGAAGAGGCTCATCATGAAGTTTGTTAGCCATTTGGGCAAGACATTGCTCTTGCCTGGACTGATTGATGAACTAGACATGCAGGACCCCCAGAGAAATGACTTGTCTAAAGGTATGACAATCCTTCAGGGTTCCTGCTTCATGAAAGAGTCTGCCAGACATTCTACAGGACACAGAAGTGACTAACAAACTGCCAATATAGGTTGAACTGTCTTTGAAATTTCCTGCTTCATGAGTCTGCGGGATACTATGGGCGAGTAGGCTGAAGATGGATGCCCCAATGGTGCAGAGGAACTTTGGGTGACTGTCCAGGCAGCAAGATGTCTCTGTCAGTTCTAAAGTTTTAGAAATTGCTTACAATGTACTTCCTGTTTACTTAGGTAATATTATATCCTTCTGGAGTCTTTGATGGGGTTGAAGAATAAATGGTTATAGCTATAGTTTTCCTTAATTATGATAAAAGATAAAAAAGATATAAATATTATAATTAATTCTTATTTGATGCCTGTTTTGTTATACGTAATTTTACTATATTGAAGTTAAAGTTTTCCTTTTTGTTTAAACAGAAAAGGGGAAATGGTGTGGGAGGTCCTTCTGTCTATGTGTTGATTTTATTGGTTAATGAATAAAGAAAACTGGCTTGGCCTATAGCATGGGAGGAGGAAGACAGAGTTAGGAGAAGCCATGGATTTGCCACCTGAGACAGATGCTGGGAACTTTAGCTGGTAAGCTACAGCCACGTGGGGATGTACAGAGAAATAGAGATGGGTTAGTTTAGTATATGCGTTTAGCCAGAAATACGGTTAAGCTATTGGCCAAACAGTATTGCAAATAATAAAGTTTTCTCAGTGGTTATTTCTTGGCTGGGCAGCCGGGATGAACAAGCGACCCTTCCCCCAACAACTAACTATTTCCCTCCAACAAAGCACTTTACAAGTCAATGGTGAACATTCTTGGCTTGGATTAAAAAAGAGCTACACACCTAAAAACAAAACTAACTGAGCCCATAGATTCCACATGTCCCTTAAAAAGCTCATTTAACCTACAAAGGTAAAAATCAGTTCAGTCAAGTAATAAGGAGAACACCACAAAAGAAAACATTAATATCATATAGCTCCTGAGAAAAATGAAGTATCACTTCTGTGATCTAACAAAAATGTATCAGCTCAGGGCTGGTGTGGTGCCACAGTTGGTGGAGATACTTGCTACCAAGTCACATGGCTTGAGTTCAATCTCAAGACCCAATTCTTGGGAAGAAAGACTCAATCCCCCAAAGTTGTTTTCTGATGTCCACATGGGTGTATGACCATGTGTGTGCATACACACACACACACACACACACACACACACACACACAAATAACTGTAAAAAATTTATGTATAATCATAGGACAGAGGGTGGTTCAGTGATTAAGATGGTGCACAGCTCCTGCAAAGGACTCTAGCTGGGTTCCTAGCACTCCCATCAGGTGGCTCCCAACCACCTGCAACTCCTGATCCAGGAGAACTGACCCCCTCCCTCTCTGTACTCCAAAGGCAGCTGTACTCATTTGCTCACACATAGACTCCCAGCCATATAAAACAAGCATATACATCACTTATAATAAAAATGAATCCTTTTTTATTTTTTAGGTTTTACAAGACATGGTTTTTCTGTAGCTTTGGCGCCTGTCCTGGAACTAGCTCTTATAGACCAGGCTGGCCTCGAACTCACAGAGATCCACCTGCCTTTGCCTCCCAAGTTCTGGGATTAAAGGAGTGTGGTGTCGGAGAGGGTGCATGCCTTTAATCCTCAGAGACAGAGGCAGGCGGATCTCTGTGAGTTTAGAGCTAGGTCTACAGAGGGAGTTCCAAGACAGCTAGGACTATACAGAGAGACCCTGTCTTGAAAACAACCAAACAATCCCAGCACTCAGGAGGCAGAGGCAGGCAGATATCTGTGAGTTCGAGGCCAGCCTGGTCTACAAGATCTAGTTCCAGGACAAGCACCAAAGCTACAGAGAAACCTTGTCTGGGGTGGGGC